GAAATATTTTGTAAAAGCATAGTCATTAGCTATTGAAAAGTTAAAAAAAAGTCATTCATTGTAAAGTTAAAAAAAAGTCATTCATTGAAAAGTTAAAAATTTTCTCAGTAATTTCAATAAAATTACTGAGAAAATTTTTAATTTTCTTAGCAATTAAATTGAAAAAACTTGATAAAGAAAATAAAAAACAGAAAATATCTGCATTAATGCTTCACTATTAAACCAAGTTACAGTAACATCAGTTCACAAATAAAACATGATTTATCTGCAAATGCTTCATTAATTAAAGCAGTAAAATTAGACAGCAAATTACATAAAAATAAAACAAAAAATCTTGTATTAGGATACCAAAATAAAAGAAAAAAAACTACTAATGACTAACTAATTTCAAACTAATTTCAAAGACTTAAAACGAAAAAACGTTTAAAGTATGCATATTCACAGACAAAATTTAAGATCATTCATTCTTTGTAACATTCACGCATCATTAAACATACCCAGCTAATTTAGTTATTCAATTGCAAAGCAAACTCACACATAAGGATATCATATCATCTACTAAAAGTCTACAAAGTACTTGTCATAAAAACATTTTTATCAGATAAGACTGCACACCAGCTGAACAAGCACACTTTACACTCTACTCAAAGAAAGAAAAGAAGCTAACAACAAAAAAAAATTAGCAAACTTAACCCACCCTTTTAATATGCCATCTGTAATGAAAGCCGCTGGATTGATGTCACTAAAACCCTTCTCATTAATGGCCACAGCAAGCACCCTTAATCTGATAGAGAAGCTAAGGAAACACTCAAAAATGTGTAAGCAAAAACTTCAACCTTGAAATTGAAAAGCCACATATCATATTTTTAACTGAAACTTAACTGAAAATAATTCAATTTGCAATTTAATGGGCACATAAAAACTCTCAATTTGTTGGAAGTGGAACTAAACCTGATTTGATGAAGGTGGAGCCGCAATCATTAGTTAAAGGTGGAGCCGCAATCTATGTCATTAATAATGCTTTTATTTTTTAAATCCAAAACACAAAACTTACTTAAAAATGATTGCTTCTAAATTTGAAGCAATTGTTTTTCTGACATTTGGTGCTCTGTTCACTCCAACAACAAATAAATCATTTTCTAAAAATATTATTTTCTAAAAGATTTTCTAAAATCTACAACAGCAATTCTGATTTTCTTAATTCTGTAATTGACAATACTTAAACCAACTACTCTCAGTCCTTATTAAAAGGGGAGGGACATTTATTAATTTTTTGAAAACTTTCCAATACACCTAAAGTGTATTTAGACACCCGCTTATTAACTTTTACTTGTTGTCAGCAAAAACATTATATCTGAAAACTTAAAAAAAAAAAATCAGTGAAAATCGGCCTTAAAAATTATATAATGATTCTTTTAGTACTGGTAAAAACAAAAAACTTTCAGTGTAAACAGGCTTTAAAAATTGCCAACCTAGTAAATCTTGATTTGTTGAAAATGAGTTGTTTTTTATTTCTCACCAAAATTGGTGAGAAATAAAAAAATTATGATAAAAACATCTGTTAAAAAATGCACATTTGACGGCAAGTCACGCTAGAATTAAATAGTTTTAAGTGTGTTTTGTAAAAAATATTAGTTTGGATTTATAGATTAAAATTTTTTTAAAAATAGACTCATGTTGTAACAGAAAAAAATTCCCCTCTCCTTCCCTTATTAACCCCCCCCCCCCATTTATGAGATCTGGATTGAAATCTTCCCCCCCCCCCTACCTATTTTATTTCCATTTCCATCAAGTATTAAGGAGTATATTTGCAAAACAAGGACATTTAAAAAGTTTATTTATATGCTTAATGATGAAGTTTTTTCACAAGAAATCACCTTTACAACCTCATCCAATACACGGGTACTCTGAAGGTGACCTAACCCCTTATATCGTATCCCATAAAATTTTTCTTTTGATTTTGAAAGTAGTCCATGTACACATTCCAAAACTATCAAAAGTTAAATTATTTTTTTGTAGCTTTTTAAGAAAACTAATTTATAAGACTTGTTTTAACTAGTCGTTAATGCCCCTCTGACTCTGACTTTAAAAACCCTTGAGTGGATCAAATAGGTGTATATAATATGTTTGGTTGTTTGACATATTGGATTGACTCTTTGAGGAACGTTAGAAATAACTTCTGATAACAATTTGGGCTTTCTAGTTAGAACATTGGCTATCTTTATTCATCAACAGAGGGTAATACCGCCAAAACTAAAGTTTTGTGAACTCTAGTGTACTTGAAATCTTTACATCCATACTCATCAGAATATTTCACTCTTTTTTTTTTTGAATGTGTTTCTAGCTCTGGCTTTAATGCAATTGATAAGGTAATCTTTAGATAGCCTTGCCCTCCATCTACCCCAATCTTAACATCAACATTCTCTGGTTCAAGAGATCTATGTTGTAAAACTGTTGAAACAAACTCATTAATAATATTGCTTATTACACCAGGAATAGTTCTTTCACTAAATAATAACAAAACAACTTTAAATTCGATGATAATGATTTTATTTTAAACTATCAACTTTCTATTTTATATTAATCAAAATATAAAATTATAACCCTAGTAGCAAACAATATTGGCACAATATTGTTTTTAGCATGTAAAATGTGTACACAATATTGCCCCAATATTGTTTCCTACTCAGGAATGTAGCATAAAATAATATTTTTGTTAAAATATATTATTTTTATAAAGCTTTTTAGTAAAGCTAGTTAAAGTAAAACACTATATGTAAACATATATATATATATATATATATATATATATATTTAGAAATACCACTTTTTTATTATCACCGATATCCTGTTTAGACTGAATCTCAGCATAAGCTTAGCATCAAACAAAGACAATAGATTTTTGTTTTCTTCTTTTTATAAAAAAAAAAAAAACTTGACAGATTTTTTTTTTCCTTTCACTCATATAAATTGGGCAATTTCTAACATTTTATAGTCACTAGTAAACTTGATACAAATGTTAAAAAAAATTAATGTTTTTTTTAAATAATTTATATATTTTGAATTTTGTAGTAGACAATCTATACCCAATATGAAATTTCCTCTGTAGTTGTTTCAGTTTTGAGTGTGAAAAGTAAGTTGTTTTTGGTTAACTACTGTAATAGAAACAACAAGCTTCTTAGGGGCAAAATTGTTCAACGTTATTTTTGTGTCATGGGTTACAAAATTCTTAATTGTAGTTGATAAAACTTTTTTTTTTGTTATAGGTAAGGTGGATTGTAAAATGCGTCAATTTCCTTTGCTTAGCTAACTTTGTGCAAGGATGTTTAATACCTTTTCTTATTTTTTTAAAACAACTTCTGCAAAGAAAAAGATTTTGATTAATTGTGGAAAGATTCAAATTAGTGATTATGATCTATATCTGTACTAGTTTCACATGATACCATTGGTGGAAGAATTGCTATTTCAGTACCATTTTTACGCTCATTAACACAAATAAAACAATCACATTTCTCAACTTGAACAATTTTAGAATTAAGATCTAAAAGTAATAAGAAGTTATTTTTTTAGTGTTAAAACAATATTGTTTATAAGCACAACAATAATAATGTAAAACATAATTAGTTTTTATTGGCCTTTTGGCAATTTTGTTATAAAATTTACTTTTGTACTTAGGTCAAGCATTAAATAAGAATCGTTTTTGAATCTGTTTTTTCTTAACTCACTAGACTTTTTCTGCAACAAAAACATAACATAATACTGATCATTAGCAAAGTATGACATTTCTTTTCTATTCTCAAGAAATGGTTCCTATATTTTTCAATCGCCTTTTGAATTTAAGTTAATATAATTTTTTTATTTAAATAATTAAATAAATTCGCTGTTATTGCTTAAATGTTGTTTAAGTCTTTTAAATAAATAAATATTGGTAAAGTCTTTTACAACAACAACTATAAACCAATCGAAAACTAATAAATATTATTACAGCCAATCACGCAGTTGCAATTACAAAAAGTAAACAACAATAATGGCTGATGGAAAATATATTATTTTAATACGAAAACATCATTATTTATAAAACTACTTAATAAGTTTTTTCAAAAGCTACAAATGATTTAAATTTTGATAGTTTCAGAATGTACAAATATTTAAAATCAAAATTTAAAATCAAAAAAAAAATTTCATGGGACTTGATATAAGGTCTTAGGTCACCTTCAGGGTACCCGAAACACCCTAGATTATGTAATATTTGAACCAGTGATATAACTCAACTCAAAATTCAGAACACATAATGTTGTGAAACTACAGTCTAGCAAATGAGAGGTTATACAAAATATCTGTTCAAAAAAATAATTATGGTTGAGGGTTTGGACTAATATGGTTCAGACATATTAGTGCCAAATGTCTGAATCTATCCAAACTATAGATTGGAAAGATTCATTTTCCAGGCCAATCAATGAATGCTGTTCAACATTATTAAATTGATATATAAAATTGTGTGATTTGTTTTTAAGTAAAAAATAATATCAAATCAATAATAAAAGACGTTCATGGATGAACAACAATTACCTCTACTAAATTAAGTGTAAAAGAAAAAGAAAGAACAACTATTATCTCTACCATGTTAAATAAGACAAGATGTCTAAGACAATGTAACAGGAGTTACATACTGCAAATTTTTTTTTAAGCTATTTTTAATTATTTTTCAAAAGAATAAGATAATAACAATTTTTTAATAGATTTTATACTTTATTGATATGAGCGCAGAAAATTTTATAATTTGAAAACTGAAGATGTGGAAAAATGTATTTTTAAAATGAAAATATTTAGCTTATTATTTTTTTATTATAAGTATATATTATAGGATATATAAATAACATTTTGGTAACACTTTTTGCTCACCAAAATTCATTTGGTTTTTTTGAAAAAAGAAGGGGAAAAAACAATAACTATAAATATTATTACCTAAAATGCATTATTATGCTAGACCTAATGCATGTTATGCATAATGTTAAACTTCAAAAAAATGAAAAGAATTTCCTACTTAATCTCACTTTAATTCCATGACTTAGATTTATTTAAATAAAACTTTTTTTTATTTGATAAAACAAATACAACCCTACTTGCCCACCCTCCATTCTTTAGAGCCTTTGTTAATCATAAGTAATTAAATTACATACTTAATGTATCCACATACCGTGTGTTGCTTGATCCATGTTATAATTAGTGTCATCTTTAAGTCTTTTAAGCAGAGTTGTCTTTCCTTGTTGTGGAAACCCAATAATCATTAGTTTCATTTTATAATAAGGTTTTGAGTTTCTTAATTTTCCAATTAAATAATTCAAAATATCTCTTGGTCTTTGGTATTCATGTGGAAGATCTTTAATCTAGACATAGAAAAAGCAGTATCTTTTTTAATTATTACTAAAGTCACAGGGTTTATTGTATACAATAATATATTTATCAACATACATAATATTTATAAGCAAACGGTAGTGGTGTAGTGGTAGAGCGCTCGCTTCATAAACAAGTGGTTCAGAGTTCGATCCCCACCACATCCCTGGTAGTACTGCGCTCTAACTCGTTTCTCCGCGCAGCGGCCTTGTTCGTCAAGGTTCATGTTTTGGAGTTATAGAGTTGAGAGAGGGTTATAACCACAAATAAGTAGCCTCCTCATCTGTAGTGGCCTTCTCGGCCTTGAGGAGGTAAATTAAAATAAAAATAAAAAATAAAAACATTGAAAAAATAAGAGAATTTCTTTCTTTAATCATAACTTTGTTATTTTTCTAATTTTTTTAGTTTTATAATGAAATTAAATCTTTTTCTTTCTTATTCAAAATCCTGTTAAGTTCGTATCACAGTTTTATTTATGAACACAAATTACGTTTTTTAAATATTTTATACATAAAAAATCAACAACATAAAACTAAACTGTTAATATATAAAAGATTATTATGTTATCTATAAGATGTTTTTAAGCAATAAATAATAAATAAAATCTTTTTATATTTATATTAGTAATTTTTGTTATAGTTATTGTTTAAAAGACCTTAACACATTCCAAAAAATGCTAACTACGCTATTTAATTTTTAATCATATAAAAATCATTTGTTAATAAATTATTAGAGTCATCATAAATAGACAGAAGTACGTCTATACTACAAGGGTGAATTGTATATTTGATAAAGAAACTTGTGAAAATAAAGAAAATTAAGAAATTTTAAACAGATAATTATATTCAAAACCACAACTTTCTGACCATATTAAAAAAGTACACAACTTATTTTCATTAGTAGATTTTTAAGAAAAAATTTGATTAAGGAAAACAAGTCAATCCATTAATCAAAGAATCTACTGTGCTGCCTCATCCTACCTAGCCCTTGAGCTAATTAGCGACTAGTAAGATGGTAATTGTTAGTGGATTTTGACTTGTCATCTTGCAAGAAAGCAAAGCTTGCCAAGAAGAATAATAAGACAGATTGGCATTTTATGGTTATATATAAAGTACAAAGACTAGTTCGTGGAAAACTGGAAGAATGTTGTTGTTCCCTGAATTGACTTTCAGCCAGTTTTCTTCATCTGAGCAACATGTCCAGACCACTCCAAGAATGTATATATATATATATATATATATATATATATATATATATATATATATATATATATATATATATATATATATATATATATATATATATATATATATATATATATATGTTTGAGAAGGTTTGTGTTTCAGAGTTATAGAGTTGAGAGAGGATTGTAATCACAACTAATGTAGCCTCCTCTACTGTAATGGCCTTCATGTCTTTGGGAGGTGAATTGAAATATTTATATATATATATATATATATATATATATATATATATATATATATATATATATATATATATATATATATATATATATATATATATATATATATATATATATATATATATATATATATATGTATATATATATATATATATATATATATATATATATATATATATATATATATATATATATATATATATACATATATATATATATATATATACATATATATATATATATATATATACATATATTTATATATATATATATATATGTATATATATATATATATATATATATATATATATTTATATATATATATATATATATATATATATATATATATATATATATATATATATATATATATATATATATATATATACAAATTAGTAAAAACACTTATATACATTTTTAGTTTTCTTAAACATAATGCTTCTCCATCATTAGGTTCATCAGGAAGTTGCATCATTACATTAGATTGCATTACATTAGATAATTAAAAAATCATGAAAAGAATTCTTCAGAATTAGGATATTTTTAGAATGGTCATTTATTTTATAGTTTTTTAAAAGGAACTTATTTTCATATCTGTATTTAGAAATTAATTCAGATTTTTTATTCAGTAAATTTTCTTGACCTAAATGAGTAATAATTTCAAGTTTTTCTTGTAAACATAGTAGACATTTTTTGGAAATGTTATTATAGGCAGGTGCAGTTTTTAGAATAGACTAGTTTAACTTAAAATTAATTTTTTTTTTCTCTAAGTTGCCAAATATATTTTAACAGCATCTTTGACAGTCTCTTTTGAGTATTTTTTATGTTAAAAAGATTGTTTGTGCTTGGCATAATGTTTTTTCCATTTACTTTTGGTTAAGCCAATATATTGATTATCAGGGTTGTTTTGCGAGGAAAAATGCATTTGTAAATAATATTTTTTGATAAGCATTTGCCATTCATAGGGCAGTAAATTTTTTAGTTGCAGTTACAATTTTCAGTATTCTTTATTTTATTTATTTATTTTTTTTTGCATTAATAAATGCAAAATTATGGCCTTTTATAATTCTTTCAATATTTTTTGCACAGCTATAGCTTACCTTAATAATGTTTCTGGTAAAAATTTTGTGCAATTTATTAGAGAGAGAAAAATGTTTGTCAAACTAATTTTAAAAACGCTTTTTCAATATTTGTTGAAACATTTTTGCTGCACGGAAGGTTGAACCAAATTATATTTCTATTTCTACTTTGCTTTTTTGCAATTTTTGTTTCAAATTTTAGCTTGAAATTTTTAAATCCGCTTTTTTTAAGAGCGTCTTCGTTTGGAAGAGTTAAAAATATTTTCATTAGAAGAGTTTTGACTTAATCTATTGTTAATTGAATAGGAATTTGTTTTAAGATTTGAGGGGGATAATTCGAATTTATGTTAATATACAATAATTCATCATTAGGTTTTTTATAAGGCCTATAAGAACTTTCCGAGAGGTTAAATGTGACATCAAGAAAACACAAAATCTTTAAATTAATTTTATTTCACTTTGGAAGCCAATGTTTTTGAAAATTTTTTAAATATTTTTTCTGATTTTGTCAAGTTGAGGACCTGATTTTTTTTTGCATTATTAAACCATCATCGTGAAACAAGCCTAATTGATTAAAATGAACTATTTAAGCTAAGGAATTTAAAATATATAAACCTAAATATTTGCAAACTTCTGCTCTGTCGTAACTTCCCATTGCTACTTTAAAGCATTTGTGCATAGTTTTTTTTTTCCACCTCTTGTTATTAAAATAGAGTATATGTTGCTTGTTTTATCAGCAATAACTAAAATATTAGGGTTTGATTTTCTATTATTGATGTCTAATTTGAGTTTCTTTTGAAAGTCATTGTTGATATTTCAAAATTTTATTGTTTTAATCAAGTGTAATAAATCATTTTCAAGAATTTCTAGGTTGGGAATAAATGGTGGGGGGCTTTTTGTTTTGAATTTAAAATTTTCTCTTTGGTTATTTTCAATTATAGGATTATTATTGTTTTCAGATTCTAAAAAAAAAAAAAGAGCTTTCCAACAAATTCTTTATATATAGTATAACTTTTTTTGTCTAGGATTGGCATATTTTTTGGGGAATAATTAAAATTGTTAATTTCCATGTATATTTTATGTAAAGTACAATTAAGAGTGCTCAACGAGTATAAACCTGGAGCTTGATATATAAATTATGTTAGTGTATTCTACAAATAGAGTGCTCAATGTTCTTAAAGAACAGAGCAATAATAAATTAGTAAAAACACTTATCTAATACTATATATACATAAATATATATATATATATATATATATATATATATATATATATATATATATATATATATATATATATATATATATATATAAAGAGAGAGAGAGACATATAATAGGATGTTATATAAACTAGGACGTTTTACCAAAACACAATATTAAAATATCTACCTTAGTGATGCTGTACCACTACATTTATATGGTGTAATTAAAACTCATAAACCTGTAAAAAGGCTACCCAATGAGGTTAATTGTAAGCATCATTAGCACACCTACATTTAGAATCTCTACATATTTAGTCAATATGGTACAACCCACTTTAAACTTAAATGAAACGCATTTTAAAATATTCTCAGCAGTTTGTGGATACAGCATTATCCATTTATTCTTGTCAACTTCCCATAGAATATAGGAAATTGATATATGTCCTAATTAAGCAATCATCACATTAATTGAAAGATTAAGAAACAACCAGAACTTTCTAAATTAACTTTAAGATCTTTGAGAAAATACATTAGTCAGATCTTTTAGTCAACGCCTTATAAAGTGTTGACTGAAAGGTCTGACATGAATCTAATAATTATTAACTTATGTAAAATTACTTTTAGAACTTTGTCCTTCTCATTGCTATTTTTTATATGAAATTGACATTCATGAGCTAGAAAATCTCCGTACCAATTGGCTTGACTCTTATGGTGGTGGTTGCTAAGTTTTTTTTTATAGTACTGTGAAAGTGCTTAACAATAAAATCCTTATAAAATCATGTAATAAAAGATATGTTGATGATGACCTTCAAGATTTCGGGTAGAAGAATTTCTAAAACTCTTAGATCTATTTAATAAACAACATAAAAATATTCAATACACAATGAAATCTGCTGAGTTGACCAATACATTAAATTATCTTGATGTTTCAGTTACTGTATCTGGTAACATCTTTAAGATTATTGAATCCTTCTTTTCCAATCGCAGTATAAAAGTTGTCCTTGATGGACAGTACTCTTCTTCTTATTCTGTAACCTCAGGGGTTCCCCAAGGTTCAATCCTTGGCCCTATACTCTTTTTGATTTACATTAACGATCTTCCAGATATTCTCACATCTAAGGTGGCATTGTTCACTGATGATACTACCATTTATTCTTGTTACGATAAGAAGCCAACTCCCTCTGATTGCTTGCAGGAGGCATCTGAGCTTGAAAAGGATCTTATTTCTGCTACAGCATGGGGCTCACAGTGTCTGGTGAACTTTAATTCAGATAACTCAATTAAAGTTCA